ACTGCACAGTGAAATATTTAGTTGAGCAAACTACTTGATACAATAAATTAATCACAAATTAAAGGTTTATATAAACCAATGACGAATTTTTAAAATCATTGCCGAAACTTTTATTTAAAGTAAGTTGTTACAAAGGAATTAAAATTACACGATCGAATTTGATATACCAAGAAACATTCTTATATTAAAATTATAATAGTTTATTATGAAAACCAGAGAGCTTTTTTTATAATAAAATGAAATTTAAGGGAAAATACCTAAAAGTATTATATCTATCGTTCAATCTAAAGTCGCTCGGTGTGACATCAGGGCGTTATGTCTTGTTACTTTACAATCAACATCAATCTTGCCAGACCTAGACCTCTTGAACAAGAGAAAACTAAGAGTTAGTATTAATTATGTTACGGGGTTTGGTTTCTTAAAAGAAGAAGAATTAAAAACATTTAACTTTTGCTTTGATTTTAACTTTTGATTTAATCAATTTAATAGACGCAATCGGGTAGATTCTTTATATCTTCTATATATATAAAAATGGATTGCTGTTCCTTAGTCTCGCTAAAACTCGAGAACCGCTGAACCGATTTGGCTAATTTTAGTCTTGAAATACTCCTGGAAGTCCAGGGAAGGTTTAAAAGGTGAGAAAAATTGGAATAATTGCCGTTAAAACCCTAAAAACAGCCCTTTTCTGTTTCCCATACAAACGTTTTTTTTGACATTAGATTTGACAACTAACTAATATGTCAATCATTGTGTTTGATTGAAAGAGGAAAAACCTGATTATTTATGGCCTCTAAGACGGAATAGAGTTCGCCTGGTCAGCTATACCTACGTATATTACTCTTGACCAAACTAACGCAGACCAAGTCGCGGGGAACAACTAGTCAGGAATATTTCTTATGAAGTACTAATATTAAAAGCGTATATAAATCACAAGATTCCAAGATCCCCTGATGCGGTGATAGAAATAGGAATCATCCATCACAGCTAGGGGCAGCTTCAGTGAGTTTAGTTTTTATTATTAATTAAAGGATCCATTAAGAAGATTATTACAGAAATTCATCAAAGAAGAAACTTTATACAAAATATTTATCTTACTAATTTGTTGTAATAATAGTTTCACTCGTTACTATCTTTGTTACTTTATCTAATAAAAAACACATGCATATTAATAAAACTAAATGAAAACCTCACTAACACAATTAAAGTTTTCGGTGTGATCCAATGGTAAGCCGTACAGTTACATAAAGTTTTAAAACGGTTAAAACTCCTTGAAAATTACTTTTCATTGGTGTTTCAATAACCATTTGTTTTCGCTTTTATGAGTTATCTGTATTGTCTGTTGGTCTTTAAAGGATCGTATTAAAATTTTAATTTTCATATTCTTCTGGTATCTGGTATAACTGTACGAACCTACAAAAGATTATCACAGAAGATAATCTTTTGTAAGTTCGTACATTTGTGACTCTCTGTTCTAACCTATAACCTAATCGTTTGCATTTTGACTTTATTTTAAGTTATTAAACTCCTATATATCGCTGTTGGCAAACAAATTCATTTTGTACGTGTGAAATATTGAAAAAATAAAACAACTATTTTAATTATTTTCTTTACGCTTTATCATAACAAAAAATATATATTTTCTGTAGCTCCTTCTGAATAGAAACTCAAATTGTTGATTCGCGTGTTCTTATTTTTCTTCACAATAATTTTCTAACAATATTAATTTTTTATCAACGTTTTTGTATCATGCTATATATATATATATACAATATATATATATATATATATATATATATATATATATATATATATATATATATATATATATATATATATATATATATATATAATATTTTATTATTTGCAACGTTATTGCCCCGGCGATGTTCATTTATCTTTGAGTTAGTTTCTTGAGTTCTGAACTGTTACAACGTTGACATTTTTCATTACTATTAATAATGTCTTTATTTCATTTTCCATCAATTTTAATTTATTGAGAACAACAATTCTTCATTATATGCTGCATGTATAGCACATACAGTTACTAGTTTTGACTTCATCTAAATATTAAAAGAATAGCCAATAGACTTGCTGTACATACAACTACTATAACATAGCTGTAGTCAAAATAACTACAATATTGTAATGTTCTCACACTAGACCAGTTCCGATCTAATACTGTTTTAAAATATTAAAAACATCAAAAAAGCTTTAAGTTAATGGATAATGTCTTTATTCTTATGTAAATAATATCCGGCCCTTCAATAGAACAAAACAAAAATTGTTAAATCAGTTTCATAATTTTGTTTGTTCAATAAATACCTCAATGTACACAAATCGAGAGCTTAGAATGTTCAGTTGCAATAAACTGCATAACATTTTTTTTATATTTCTGCTTTAATTACAAAATACATTATATTAGCAGACGAGTAAAAACTACAAGTAATTGGGATGCTCGTATTAACATTACAGATAAAGGTCCTTAAAAAATTAATGATTTAAATACGACTTGAGAAATGTAGCATTTACTGAAATACAGTTTTCAGAAATTTTACCACTTTTTTATATAATTACTTAAATGAAGTCAGAATTCTTTAGGAAGATGAGGAAAGAATATTAATGGAGCTTTTATTAACAACTTTATTGTAAAGATGATGCGAAGATTCAAGAAAAGCCTCTTCTGTAAGGACAATCTTAAAATACTTAATATTAAAAGAAAGCATGATAGTATGACTCACAGTTATATTAGAATATATATACACATGTTCAAAGACATCTGATTCTAAATATAAAACAGATACCCTATAACAACTATTAAGATTGAATCAAAAGTATTCTAATCATTCATTGATCTTATTAAATAATATATGTTTAAAATATAGCTGTAAAGTGTTATCCATTGTTACTTTGAATGGTGGCTATAAATAACAAAACTTAATATTAGAAACACATGCAGAGTTCCAACTGATTGATAATATAATATAATCTATATTAATATATGACTTTTATCAATATCACGCTCGCGGATACTTCTCACCTCGTAAGCGTACCTTTTCGACTTATTTACTAATGATACTAATTATTTGATTGTACAATAAATATTGTCTCATTGATAAGGATCTGTTATTTTCTCTCATATTTATAAACTGATTTTGTATTTGTTAAACCGCCGGTAATATTCACATTTGACAACATTAACAATATCACACACAATAACTATTCACCAAACGCGTAACATCACCCATTGTTTGTGATCAAATGTGTTCGATACAGTTCTATGGAACGTATTAATGAATACAATACGATCATATAGATTTAATTATAACACCAATTATTAGTTGAACTCGTGTAACGATAGATATTATGAATTATGGACAAACTAAAACAAGCTTTTTGTATAAAAACTGAATATGTGAGTACAGTAAGTAACACGACGCTATCGAGTAATTTATAAAGATGTGAACGAAATTAATGTCGCTATGAATGTATTTATTATATATTTTTTATGTATATATTATATAATTTCTTTTGAATAAATGGTAAATTTTGTAATATTATATTCTAAACTTTAACTGACAGGGAAACTCAAAAGAACAAAAACTATATTTAGAGATCTTTCTTTACAGATGACTCCTAACTAATTCCGAAAAATAATTTTTAAACTTTATTAATTGTGTATTGAGCCTAACTATTCTTTTCTCATTTCTATTTGTTTTTTTTTTCTTTATCATGAGGACATGTGTCGTTTCTATATTTTCATACAAATTCTAATGTAACTCTAAAATGAGTCCTCTCTTGATGAAGAAAATTCCGTTGCTATTTGAAAAATTTTCCACGTTTTTTCAGAAAAAACTGGAATATAAGAAATATTTCCGTCATAATTACGTAACAGATTCGCTGAGAGCTTTTCAGTAAAATAACAAGGAAAATATAATAAGTGAAGAAGAAAATAACCGTTTAGGGTTTTTTGGAAAATTTCTTTTAGAATATCACTAGTTTTAGTCAATTTGAGTTCGACTATACAGAAAAAAAATCTCGATTCATTTTAAAAGAGATTAGGACTATTCACTTACTAAATAAACATTACAATAATTAGTTTTATTTGTTTCAATGTTTGCGTCCAGAGAACATGCTGAGGCAATTAGTCAGCGGTGGCCTAGTGGTTAAAGGGCCCGCCTCTCATTCATGTGGGCGCGGGTTCGATCCTGGAAAGTACCAATGTGATTTTGCCGAGTCATATGTACTTTCTAAGAGTATTTAGACACCACTGACAGACGGTGAAAGGAAACATCGTGAGGAAACCTGGACTTATAATTTCACAAATATAAGTTTGAAATCACCAACCAAGCGTGATGATTAATTCTCAAACCTTCTCCATTTGAGAAAGAGGCCTTTGCTGAGCAGAGGGGTCGGATAGGCTGATGACGACGAACATTAAAATTAAACTTTGACACAAAACTGAGAATTAATCTTTGTAATTAATAACAATTAAAAAAAGTTATCACTTGATTAAGGAACTTAGAATATCTCAGTGTAAAGCCTTACTTTACAGTGTATTCTTTTAATGTAATTGATATGTGTCATTTATGAATCGCTATTCATCTCATACTTATGTTCATTCGGTTTAGGATATATTTTTGCTTTTTGTAAAAAATATAGAAATGAATTCCAAAGTTTTTCAAAATTAAAATAGTTAAATTTAGTGTTTATAAAGTTATAATAATATAAGAAAAGTTTTTATTTATGTTATTTTATTCATTTATTATTTATTTAATGATAGAGCAACAGGTATCAAATTAAATCAACTTACAGAACTGCAGTAGCAATTCGATGAACATTTTTATTTCGTTCACATTAATGCATTACTGCATATCATCCTGCTTGAAGAAATGATCAGATTGATCGTGTGGGGCTCCCGGTAAGTATGCAAAATGACGCGCAGGCCTGCTGAAATACTCGTTAAAAGAATTATCAATCAAACTTATCACTGTAGTGAAACATTAACGATCACATTCGTATATCTCTCTGTACGCGAAATTGCCATCCCTAGAATCGAGAATGCCCTCATAACGTAGGTTTAAGTCGATAGAAGGTCTTCTGCCCACCCCGTCCCAGTAATTTTTTCGTCCATCCTCTCTATGGAATATGTCAAAGGATGTGACTGACTCTATGTCTAACTCCGAGGCCTCCCTGCAATAATCACCTACTTGTAGAAGGAGGCCGTTGCGACTCACCGATTCTCGTTGCGATTCATAACACTCACCACGAAGAACGTAGCTTCTCTTCCTATCATCGGATAACAGCCCGGTCATAGAGGCCTCATCGAAGCTGCCTCAGGTCTTCTTGATTGGATTACTCACTTGTTAATATAATATTCATGAAGCCATATTAATTAGAACATTTATAAACGCTGATACCTTCTGAATTAATATTCTTTGTTTCATAAACCAAGTTCTTGTAGAATATTTTATGTTCACGATTACATTATCTGCTGATTTTTTGACACAAAAACACAATCTGAGCGTGTGGCCAATTGGTATATTTAATGATACATCTCAATGTGATCCTTATGCTGTGACTTTAGAGTCTATATTACAAGTGACATTTCTATACTGGGACGTTTTTCGTATTCTATTATTCAAGAGACGAGGGACAACTACAGGACGTACTGTAGAAGATAAAAACAATTTAAAGAACATTTTACAACAGAGTTCAGTGACATTATGATATTATTTTTATTTATTTTTCCAAATTTTAACAAAAAAACGATGAGGGAAACAATTTTATAAAGGGTAATTATATTTGATAGTGAATACGGTCCTTTATAAAACGTTTTATTCTTAGACTCATGTAAGGGTTCCTTTATCTTTTGGAGATATATTTCTGTAACGCTCTAACTAACTGATTAATTACTGAGAGAGAAAACTCATTCATGTAGTTTAAAATAAATACAACGCTGAATCACTAAAAGAGTATTAAGATAAGACAAACATTTCATACAGAGATCTGCCGGATTGATGTTGAAGTCATAATAAATAGGAATGTGACGTTTGTAGCGATGAGCCAAATGTTAATGTCGTGTCGTATACTCGTTTAATGATCAATTATTATCAGAACATAGTTAATATATTAAGAGTCGACAAGTTTTGTATCAGAGAGATGAAGTCAGTTAACTAGAGTTGGGAATTGATCGTGATGTAGTTTGTGTTACAGTGTTAGGATCATGAATTATGTTAGTGTCTTAATAAGATTCAAGAAGATTAGAATTTACGATAATAAAGATTAATATTTATTTTAAGTTTTCATTCATTCCAAAAATTTCCCTCAAATGTTTTAGTAATAATTCGTTGAGGCGAACATTTCAAAAAAATACATTATTCCTGAAGTAAGGACACGCTGAAGTTATTTGTTACACTTAGTTATTATATTAAAGACGTGTTATAATGGAAAATACTATATCTTATTTAGTAGCCGTATCGTGGCATTTAAAATAACATCATCTAGATTGGATAGCTTTTCATTAATAAATTAATGAATTATTTTTTACCGTATCATAACTGATATAAAATTCTGTAAATCAAAAGCAAATATACATATATTACGAAATATAAGAAATGCATTGAAATAAGCAATAATTTGAATATTGAATTAAATCTACAAAAGAAAGCAACAAAATCAAGCTTACAAAAGAAAATATGAGATATGAGTATTCACATCTCTCTCCTATTTCTAGCAGTGTGTTGTGCAGAAGTGAAGGTTCACGACGGGATCGAACAAGACAATGAGATAAAGAAAAAACCAACATTATAAAAATATTGTCATTTCAACAACCTTCATCATTTTGTGTCTTATTTTTCGTTCAGGTGACTATATTATTGATAAATGTAAATGTGTACATAATAACTTTAAAAAGAAAAAATAGTAATCAGTTAAATGAAGCTTTAATCCTCAAGCTTGCGATGAAAGTTCTTTAAATAATTTAAGAGTTTTCCCAAACGCCCGGTCAGTTGTTTCTTACATTCCACTAGATTTAATTTATATAAAGTTCTTGGAAATCTTTTAACAATTCAGACAACATCGAACTCAATATATTGTTATTTAATTATAATTGATTGTTTTGTAACTAAAGGAAACTGTAAATTGTAAATATTTAATTATTTATTTAGTTTGACTTTAAGTAACGATTTCTGAGTGTAACGTAAATTATACCTAATGTCCTAAGTAGTAACACTTACACATACGTACATATATACTGGTATATACCCTTACTTTAAAAAGTTCGCTCATTGATAACTTTCATTATATTAACACATAAGAATATTACTAAATGTTAAACGAATATGAACTCACAAGGAAAATTAGCTACGAAGATAAGCGTTATTTTGTATACAGACAGAATTTTGAAATGACAATTAAATACTGGTAAAGAGCATTTATTGCTTGCTAAACAATCTTTGGTTTAAGTGGTATATATTATAGACTGTTTACAATATGAAGTAAGTTGTAGAACAATGGTCATTTAATATTGTGAACCTACTGGCATAATTATTTTTTTAATGAAAATAAATGTAATAATGTAAATGAATATTTATACAAAATGATAGTTAAGGTACTTTATTGTAAAATATATAATATTATTTTAGTATATAAATTGATGTCACTATAACATTAGACTGTAATATTCAGATTGAGCAACTCTTCTGAGGCATCTACATGTTAAACGAAAATTAGTCAAACATACAGTAACCGTCAACGTTATATTTTAACCGTCAACCGTTTATAAAAAGAGCTTTGATAATCATGTTCGAACCAATTAACACCTTCAGTTGTTCAGAAACATTTCTAAACTGCCAACTCTGTTTACAGCCAATTACCTTTTGAACAAACTTTCCGACATTGTAACCGCCACCATTAGAGGCAAAGTTACCATACTATAACATTCACCCATTACATGAAGACGGTAGACTTTCTTCTTGAATAAATTTAAACTACTAATTTCATCCAGATTATTTTTAATAAGAACATAACATAGAATATTATTAGTATTTGCTCGTTATAAAGGAGTTGAATACACAAATGTCTTGTAAAGAATATTGCTTAACTAGTTTTTGTCTTTTTGGGAAAGCTCAATCTTCTTCGACTCTGAATAATGAACGAACTAAACAACGAACGATCTAAATTGAAATTTTCTTGTTCTCACAACTTAGTAGGTTTTTTTTAGCCTGTACAATAAATCATCAACATTATTTTATTTATCGACATTTTAAAACTTCAATCGTTTTACAGCTAGATTTAGTTATTTAATCATTCCTGACACTTATACCTATATCTTTTTCAAACGCCTTTCTGAGGATCATTTCCGAGTATACATTGAAAAGGAGCAGGGAGATATTGATTCTTGTCTTGATAAAGTGTCGGTTCCAGTACGTAGATCCGCCGACCATCACCTACTGCCGCTATCACTTGACCGGCTCCCGGCTCCTGCCTCTAAGAAGCTGCTGAAGTCTAAGGAAGCCATGGAGTCATGGAAACCCATAGTCGGAGTGTACATTCACTCAATTCACTGCGCAACGCACCGGATACTATGGTCACTATGGAACCAGCGACGCGACTATTACTATATCTAACACTATTCAAAGGTAGAAACAATCACAACACACAGTACAGTCTATTTAGCCAATCGTACCATATTTCACTCCACGAAGAGTTTTTAACAATCGTCCGGTGCCATTCGTGTCTCAGGCGTGGATAAAACTCTGCTGACTGAATATACTATTTATGTCTTTTGTTACTCAGACCAACACAGAGAAAAGACTTGTATTAAGTAACCTTACATATTCCCGCTTGTTTTTTATTAGTTACAATTTTTCAAACAATTTGTAATAGTAATTTATATTTTGGTCTATATTATGTCTGTCCATATTGTACTTTAATTAAGTTATCCCTTTAATTTTTGATCTTCGCATCACCATCGTACCACTATATTTTTTATTATTTTGCAGTTCGAAGTCGACAAAAATGTTACCCCATAGTATATTTTGGGGGCTAAATATAGCTTCCACTAAAGAAAACTTTTATACATTTAATTAAAAAGACGAGTCTTATTATTCTTAAAATACTGTCAGATCATAGTAGGAGAATGATTATTTACTTAATGTTTCGTAAACAATGTATTATAACGGTGACACTTAAGCGCGTCCTCAGTACCTGCACTACAGCTTCAGAACTGCTGAAATCTCATTATAAATAAGACTAGAGTTGAAGTACGCTGTGAAGAGACGCTACGAGACGAATATAAAGTAGTTTTATTACACTGATGTTACTCTAAACAATACTATTCATATATTCATATAACTAACAGCATTCATCGGTCCCATAAAGAGAACTAAATGTTTATTGATTAGTATCATTTACATATATCATTATAAAAGAAAGAATGACAATATTTTTTGACCTCTCGGGTTTCTCTTTTTATAACAAGAATACTAATAAAAGAAAAATTTAATTTAAACTGTTTGTTTTTCGGTAACTGACTTAAAAGGTGTTTTGTGCGTACGCCAGATTGATTTTCTCGTTTTATTGTAACCGATGGTTGAGTGAAGTTAATCCAATTAGTGGTTGTCAAATTAATCGGCATATGACTGTGAAAAGCTTCTCGTAGTTTCTCACTGAGTCAGGTTTAACAATGAGTTATTATGTATCTTTACATTTTTAAACTGAGAGCAAATCTAATTTAAATTTTGTTTAATTGTGTTAGTCTCACTGACTTAAATAAATAATATTTTTCTGTCATATAATAAGATAGAACCCAGTATTAGAACACTTTTAAACAATATATTTTTTTATTGTTTTCCACATAACTACTTTAGATAAATAAACAAGAATGGTGTAAAGACTTTAAATTTGTAAAGCTGAGAAAATATTTTGAAAGTAAAGTCTGTTTGCAATGGGTTGAACCTTATAAAGTGTTAATGTGATAATAATATTAATATAACAGAGAGGAATGTACCAACACATATAATAGCTGTATAAATACATAATGAGGTCAGTAAATGTGAAAATCAAAACCCTGATATATTACTTTATTTATGTTTATTTGATAAGTTTCTAGATCAAGATACAACTCATACAAGTTGACATTTCCATCACAGATATGTAATAACAGTGATAATGCTTGATAATTTGTATATTATTCAATAAATTCTAGTGCGTACATCGACTATCGGCAGACTGTAATTTAATATTCGTCTGAAATATTCACGACATACAAAGTATGATAAGTTTTTTATATTAAGCAATCTTGTACCGATAT